TATTTCTAGCTCCAGCTCCGCATTTAAAAAAATTTCGGCTCCAAAATTTGTTTTGCTCCGCTTCGACTCCAGATTTAAAATTATATTGAATGTCTTAGTTGTGGTTGTTGAATGCTGTTGCGATATTTTCTTTGAGGGTGCCGAAATCTTTTTTTGGTTCCAGAGCTTGGGCATCTCCGTTTAGCAAATTGTCCGTTAGGCAAGCTGTCCGTTCGGCAATGTGTCTTTAGGCAAACTGTCGTTAGGTTAAATGTCTTTAGGCAGATTGACGGTCACGGTCAAAAAGCATGATGGTAACAGTGGTCATTCTCTGTGCTGGGAATATTTTCTTTTCAAAAAAGACAACGAGCGAAATGCAAATCAGGTGATGAAGTAAAAAAAAAGCAAAAGCGTCATCGACGAAGGAATTTCTTGTGCATTTACAGACAAAGCACATTATATTCTGTAAGGACGCGAGTGCCCCGGGGGCCATAAGAGGCCCGTCTGTTTCCAAATTCGTCGAACCTATTCATCCACCAACTACTGATTCGCTGAATCAAATGATCGCTCATCTCTGCTCTGTTGATGGATTGAGCTTTAATACAGTATATATCGTGGTGGCTGGTCACGGGAAGAATAATCGAATACACTTTATTAAGGATGTTTACAAATATACAGAAAGATCCGTTAAGTTTTTTGACTTAATTAAAAAAATACAACGTAATGGACAAATTACAATATAGGATGCCACTCGCTGGCTAATCGATATCAATTCACAACAGTTGGGGGCTACTCGCTGACCAACTGATATCACGATATCAATGAATAACTTGATGATATGAGGATGGATTGAATATATTACGTAGGGTGCCACTCGTTGGCGTATTACATATATCGACTGAATGACGAACTTTTCTCATCTCCGTCCTCGGCTTCTTCACTGCCTTCTTTTATGGCCTTCATTTTGTCTTCCATTCTCACGTTCCTAAAAGATCATATTCGTAGATAACATCTTGTGATAGCATTCTTAGCTTTCAAACAATGTCTTTGTTTTGGCCGTTAGAATGCATTTTATCTGAACATGCAACAAATATGTTGCCTTTCCACATGTTCATCTTTATGTTTTGATTTGAACCGTTTCATTGAAACGGTGTTTTGGGAATTCGAACAGTATAATGTTTACACCTCCCTTTTTCGCAGAGACCGACTCTGGTCTTCAATTAGTTAACTAATTAGTTGGTTAAATAATTAGTCAGTTTGAAAATTTTTTTTGAATTGTTGCCACATGACAGGGGTCAGGAAGTTGGTTTAACAACGGGCCAAAATTTCTCCGAGCAACTGACTGGCGGGCCAACATGTTTTTTTATTGTTTTTTTCCTCATTTTTTCGAACATGTTTTTCCCTTATCTTAGGCTTGTCGCAAAAATCGTGATATAGTCTAAGCAAAGTAGCTCCACAAAGACGTGCGCTGGTTAAGTAAAGGCCAAGCGCTGGAGCGCTTCTGGGCACTACTGGATGAGGACAAGGCCTTCCTGAGCCTAAGCAAGACGCAAATTGCAAACGACCACCTTGCCTTTCTACACGATAAAATATCTAAGTGACAGATATAATGGTGGTTGTTTACCAAGAAACCCAATGTGGCATTTTTGACTGATATTTTTGGTCATCTGAACCAACTTAACCTTCGGCTGCAAGGGAAAGGCAAAACCATTGTGGACTTGGTTGAAAAGCTTGAATCTTTTACCAAGAAACTGAGGTTGTTCCAGTCAGACATAACAACTGGAAGACTCCTGCACTTCAGTGTACTGAAACCACAGGCACGGGGACAAGTGACAGATATAATGGTGGATTTTATCAAACAGCTACAGGCCAACTTCAAGTCCAGATTTGACGACCTCTCCATCCCGAGGGGCATCGCTTTTGTTCGTGACCCTCTCGCTGTCCAAAATGCGGATATATCCTCCCTGGCTAAAGAAACCATCCCTTCGATGGATGAGGCTGCATTTCAGTTGGAGCTTATTGATTTCCAAACAACCTCTGTTATCAGTGATGCGCTCAAAAAAGCAGAATCTGTGCATGATTTTTGGATAACATGCTCAGATGAGTACAGATGGATCAAGAAAATGTACGCGTTGGCGACACACTTTTGGCCCGCCAGAANCTTTCGACATAGAAAATTCTGTCGAAAATTCTCAGTGTAATTCTAACCCTCTTTTAGCTCTTCAAAAGCAAATTCTCAAATTCATCTGGCGGGCCAAAAAATTTTGTCGGCGGGCCGGGGGTTGCCGATCTCTGCCATATGATCTCGTCATGTGGTCCTTTCCTTTTCGAAGACCGTCCCTGTCTTTGAAGGATCTGAGATAAAAGGTAATTGGAGCGCCTACCGGAGGCTGGTTTCACTTATTCGGATAACATCGCCGTATTCTCGAGCCAGCGTTCGGTGATGTCCGGCGTGATCACGGCCATGATGCTGTACTCGTCGGCATCCAACAGCACACCTGCTCGAGATCGCTGCGTTGTGCCGCTTCTCATAACGTCCATATAGCGAAGGTCGACGATTGGTGTTTCTTTGACCACTTCACCTAAATACGTCTTCCAAACGCGTGATCTGAGCAACGACTGAACATCGCCTATAGTTATGATGCCATCCTTGGCTCGTGAGAGTGCCACTGAGGTTTGCTGCACATCAAGGAAGAACCGAGTTGATTCTTCGGAAGCTTGATCGGATATGACCCTTGTGGTGATCAAGATCACAATCGGTGCCTCGATCCCTTGAAAGCCATCGGACTTGGGCTTCCTCCAATGCCTTTCTCAGCTAGTCGCGCGTAGCCGTGTAAAAACCGAGCACGACTATATCTGCTGATGTCAACTTCTCCAGTAGTTTTAGCGTGATAGTTTTGGCTGCAAATTCCTGGAAGTCGTTGTATCGTGACATTAGGAAATTCTTACCACCAGCTGCTTGTATATGTAACACTACGATTGGTACACCCTCTACTGGGAGAGGTAATTCTGATGATGCAATCGTTGGCCGCTCGCTCCGTTCAATTGCCGCTATCAAGGTGTTGTCATATGACATGACCGATAGACAGTGCGTGAGGAGTGGATGTGAGCGGTGGTTCATTTCTAAGGCTATGATTGGGATCTTTTGCCTGCGAAGTACCGTTTGCATTGCTCCCATAAAGCCCTAGCGTACAATGTTATCCAGGATGTTGACTTTATAGGCCGGCAGTTGTTTGGCATCACCGGTTGTAAATAATTGCTGTAATTCCTTCAGTGATATGATGAGACCGTATAACCGAGCATCGGGCACTAGATCTGCTTTATCTATGATACAATGGGTCACAAAGGGCCGTAGTATCCGATTCAAATTTTCTGCCATCGATATGGTCATTATGAAGATTTTGTATTCTCCGAGCGATTTCAACGCTCGATCTTCGCGATCGGGTCTGTCATTGTGCTTTATGCGGCGCTCGACATGTCGCTTTGCGAAATTGAGATCTGCATGGTTCTCAATTAGAATACGCCACACTGCGTCCTCTATGGTCTCTGCCAGACGATATTCGTCCCGCGGAGCAGACCCTTCATCCGCCCTTTTCTCGGCTGTAAGGGATTGAATAAATAGTCATACTTGTCGTGCCAATCCTGGCAATAAATTCAAAATGGCGTCAGCTAAGCTGGCTACTGCAGCATTTGTGGGTGCAGTAACTAACATTACTCCAGATTCTGGCATATTCTGCAACCGTTCTTTAACGTACGCCGCAATGACGAAGGTTTTGTCGGTGCCAACCGGGTTTTGCTGAAAGATAACGAGAGTGTTTCCCTTTAGACATTGTAGTAATCACTTCTGACAGTCGTTCAACGATGATGTCAGAATGGCACAATCATCTTCTTCCAGGCTGATGAGATTACCTACTCCTAACAGAGCTTTCACTATTGCGTGTTTGGGTTGGGGGTCGGTGGTGGTGATGTAGTATGACAGTTCTCTTGCTTGAAACTGTGAGATTCTGAATTCAAGGCCTGTTCTGTTGGTGTCTGGAACTATGTACAATGGGTGCTCATGATTAATGGTCCATGGCGCCTTTTGTGTCAGGTCGGCGAGCGACTCTTCGTCGATGTACATTTCGGCGATAATGTTGCCAAAGTCATCGATCTGAACGTTTTGTAGAGTACCGTGTGTTCCCGTATATGATTGTGGGCCATCACTGGCAGTCGCTCAGTCATCTTCTCTGGGCATGAGATTATTAGCATTCTTACGTCCTCTTCCCAGAATTTTACTTGCAGAGACAAGATTGTGGCGTTACTTACAGCGGCATGGTATACTCTGATGCCTTTGGGAATCAGTATATATCTATCACTATGAAATGCGGAGTGTTCCATTGCGATTTTCGTCCGATAGCGTGTGAGTGATGCCGCTGCAAGTAGCGTATCCTCATGTCTGAAAGCGATTTTTTGAACGGTATTCGTTGGTGCTGCTATACCGGATAGAAATGGGTCTATCTGAATTGCTGGGTCATTGGGGTTAGTTCTTCCTAATATTATGAGCGCCGCCTCCAACTCTGATCCGGTGATTCGGCGTAGCTGTGACTCTCCGCGATACCCACGCCGGAGTACGAACGTCTTCGCAACTTGAGATCCCACTGGGATGACGACGTGCGTCGGTGTTACCAAGGTGCCGTCAGGTGGTGGGCAGTTTAAACTCTCGTCGAGTCGGTGATCTGATGCGTAAGCTAGATTCGGGACGTAGCGACCAGTATAGTATAGTTGCGTTCTGGCTGGTCTGTGTGGGGTTGCTGCTGCGATAGAGGTATGATTAATGGCGCAGATCGTATGTTGTACGTTGCCGTATGTTCCGAGATGTTGCAGCGATACGGCTAAGGCATTTGAAGTAATTCGGTAACTGCCTAGTAGTCGTATAACAAATTTCTTGCGGCACTTTGAACGTAGAGGGGACGAGGGGGAATTTGTTATATGACGATTATAATACAACAATATGTTGGATCACAAGATTGATCACAATGTCGATGGAGATGCGGTTGAGCGGCGTGATGATCCGGCAATTCAGTCGAGACGCCTGTGCAATGCCTTTGGAGACTTTTGCCTTCACGAGACGTTTGGAGACTTTTGTCTCCACGGTAGGTTTAGAGACCGTTGCCTCTACGGCAGTCTCTACAGACGATTGTCTCTACGGTAGTCTTTAGAGACGATTGTCTCCACGGCAGAAGAAGAATAGGAATAAGAACAAGAATAAGAACCACAAACTGAGGTGAATCAACCCCTCTTTTATACTGAGATGAAGCGGAAGAATCAGTGCAATTCCCACAGACAAGAATGTGATTGTTTTGTCTATCGAAGCATTTCGAATGGTGATAACGGATCGGCAGAGATTTCGAGATTAGCAAAAAAAATGTTTCTGTCTTTTCGCAATACGAGACAAGTCGAGAGATACAATGTTTACAATACCCTCGCAAACAGTAAATTTCATGCGGTTTTTGAATTGTGCAAAACTCCAATACGTTGCTCTGCGAATGCTGTTAATATTCTGCGAATACTGAGTGAAGGATTTGGTACAGAATAGTGAGAAATTCAGCGTAACTCTAGATGAAGGGACTGATCGATTTAAAACCAAGGTTATCTGAATGTCAGCCTTGTTGGTATTGAAAAATCCTACTGCCTCTGTCTGATTACGATTCATGGATCTCATTCATTATTTATATGTTAAACGCTCTTTTCGCTTACATTTTACTGGATCCATTTCAACTTTTCAGGTAACTGAATATCTCATTTTAAAAAATTTTTTCATCTACGTATAAGTTGTACTGTCCTGTACTGTTGGTGCTTTGCTTCGTTGAATTGTTGAATTTGTTGAGTTTTGATGAATGATTCGTTTCATCTAAGCTTTGATGAATGCAATAAACTGTTTCCTGATTAATTGTGAACATACTGGCTCAAAAAGAATGTGTTAAACAAGTCACATTTCTATATTTCAAGAGTTGAACGATCCCGTGATCAATCCAGATTTCGTGATTGAGAAAATGCTCGGCATTTTGCGAACCCTAGTAGCAATATCAGAATCACCATATTCAAGCTAACGGTAAATGCTATCAAACACAGATTCATTTCAGTTGGTATTAGTATGCATGTGACTTTTAATGCACAATAGGTCAATACTCTTCAGTTTTGAGCATAAATTTGTTTCATTTCAAAAAAAAATGAAATGAAACGAATGAATATAAATTTGCAATTAACCTATTCTTGATCTCAGGTGAACTGATTATATTCGTAATATGCATCCAAACCATACCCAGCTCTCGTTTACTGTTTATCATTGCTTCATTTATCACAGTCAGTTGCGAACATGCTTATTCGCTTAAATTTAATTCATTTTAGCTGAAACGCTTCTCTTTGCTCGAGAAGGCAGTTGTTAAAATGTGTAGCACAATGTCTTCATGCTGACGCGTGTTCTGTGTGTGTTAGACCACACCCCCTTTTTCTTTGACCTTAACTGCAGGATTACCGGATGCGTTATGTGAATTCGGATCAATTCATATATGATTTCATATGATAGACAGTACTCGAGCTGAAAGAGTAGAAATTGGGAAACGACCAGAAAGTGAGGATGGGATATTACAGTTAGATAAAAACTGTTTCCAGAATTTACGAAAGGTGCTGAGAGCAGATTTTATATCTAGGAGCTAACTTTCATGATGTTAACACCGCTCACAGCTTTCTTCGATGAGAGGTTAGGGCACAGACAGACTAGCGTCTTTGGTGGCATATGATGAACTTATAATATTTACACAAGAATGGAACCGAATGGCTTTTTAAATCGGATTTTGTTAATGTGAACCAAGATTGAGCCGTCTGAGTTTTGTGTATGATCATGTAATGATTTACGAGATCAAATATCAGAGCAGACGGAGCAGCCGTTCCCTTGACGTGCTACGTTCTTTTCGAGAGTTATGCCGATTACTTCACCAAAACTTTTGAGTAATCATCGTGGGAAGTTGATTAGGGTGAAGAGTACGCCATTCTTTTAGTCCTTCTGAATGTAACATTGCTCAGCAGCAGTTAAAGATTAGAACAAATCCATACAAGTGATATTTTTAAGACATTGATGCGGTGACAACGTTATTTCGATTTCTTACGAATATTTCTTATGCTTTTAGATTTGCACGTACTTATTGTTCTCCGTTCATTTTTGTGAATTATGGTACTGATGTAATTATTGATTTGAGTCATCAACAGAATCCACACTCTCCGGTGCTGATTGAAAAAATGGCCTCTGGAAATCGTATGCCAGAAAATTATCAGACCGCCACACCGATCATAAAAATACCGCTTACTGACACGCTCAACCTTCCGTTATCGCAGCAAGGTGATTGTGGTTTTTGAACTTATTTCAAACCGTTTTTGTTGTGACCTGTTTCAAGAGTTAATTTTCAGTTGGAATGTAGGTATGAGATCCATCATTCTCGATTTACTCCTCGTTTGGAAACGCTGACTTCGGGGCACCCACTCCAGACCAATTCCTTAACAGCAACGCTTAGGCCTATGCTGAGGCTATCCCTTTTCTCTCTTTCAATGCGCGTAGGGTAGGGTCCGCTACTGTGCAAAAATACCGACTTCGGCTCTAGATTCGTTTTTTTTTCAATTATTTTATTGAAATCAATTCGTTTCCACCGCTCATATAAACATTTGTTTCTCATTGTAGGTAAGCCGTGTGGCTTTTTCGAGGCGCAATTCTTTCGTTGTTTGGAGGCATATGGTGCAAAATTGGGACGCAAATATTGCGACATAGAACATCGCGACTACAACGAGTGTCTTACCGGTGATAAGCAGGTTTTAGTTATATCTATTCGTGAAATTTGTTTGTAACTTGATCAAGACTATTTTTATTATACTTGCTTAGCTGTATATTTTATGATTCTTCTACTCACATGTTTCGGTGAGAAAGTGTCCAGCTACGAAAAATTATGAGTGGTATTTGTATGCAAAACGTACCGAAAGACTTATCATCTTAAAATATACTAAGAAGAAAGTCGCGGCAAATCGTAAAGACTAGTCAGGAGAATTTAGCCCGTTCTTCGCCTGAGCGTGAGCCAAAGCCCCTCTCAGAGTAAGCTCGAGCCTACTCAAGCTTATATTGCCAAGTTGTAGCAGGGTGGTTTCGACGCGCCGTATATTTTTTATCGCTATCCAACTTTCAGATTTACCAAATGGATGATATTTTTTGCTATCCCTTATTTGTATATCGTAATATGCCATATAAACTGTGATGGACAGACGCACTTCATCAGATCCTGAAAATGTACTACTAGCTGATGATTTTTGGCGAAATAGAAGTTTTACTATCATAACATCTTGACGAGTTTCACTATCATCAATAACAATTTGCAGCGTAAGAGAATCGAAGCGATTCGCAATGAAAGGCGTAAGAAGTTCCTGAAAGGTGAACTGCCTAAAGCTTTTCTTGAAGATCATCCGCAACCCGGTGAATATAAATCGGATTACTTCTCATATAATCGTGTTCATTAGTTGTATGTGATCGATACATTTGTCCATTAATTCATCGTGTATATTTACTATCTAGGTTAATTAAACGTTTCAACGTTATAATACCTTGTTTTTTTGTTTCTTTAAGCCGTTTCTCATTGACCGGCAGCTGTGTTCTATTTTTGAAATTGTTGCTCTCGTCATGTTCATAGGTTTTTAACCAATAATAGCGCTTGTTCAAAACTTTCAATTTTGTATCTTAAGTAAGCAATAATTGAACATGAATGGTTCACAGTGATTCCGTAGTGGCTGAAAAGTGTTTCTGTTAAACGCATTCACTCTTTTATGAATGTTTGTTCGATGATTTGCTGTGTTCTGGAAGAAGATAGATCCATTGTTGGTGAATTATTAATAGCAATGAAAAGACCATATCGACATTCGAGTAGCTTTTACTCCTTCATAAAAATGACGCTATTGTTGAGATGCATACGAATGAAATATAAAATAAGAAGCAATAATCGATAATGCAAAAGATTCGTTTTCGTGAACTGAACAGTGACAGTGATTAATCAGTATCTACATTGTATTCGTAACCGTTTATTGCATCAGCTTTTTCAATATAAATGTATGACGTTGAGTGGCTGAGAAAAAGACGTGTGCGTACTATTCATGTGACACAGTTACTGAAGAAACGAGAACTTGGCATCAATCGTCCAGGTTATTTGCTTATAGTTGTGAAATTTTTATCATCTTCATGCGTTCAGTTATTCTGTGAAAGTGATTCTTATGCTGTCTCATCGCTTATTATCCTGTGAATGTAAAGCAGACCGCGATTCTCTCCTTTTTCTCTCTCCAAAAATTTAATCCACTTTTGCGGTGTACTCCAGGAAAGTTAAAAAATTGATCGATAATGGAGAAGTTTTCTTTATAGAATTTGTCCTAAGATGAAAGGATCAGAAGAATCATTTCATCATGATCAAACAAGTAGTTTGAAAACATTTCTGAACAGTTATGAAATAATTATGAAGAGAAAGCAAGTTGCCAACCATAGTTCACCTTCGACATCCTCATATCCCACTCGTTATTCTTGGGAATCACTGTTCTGCAGTATTCGTTTACCATTGACGACAAAAACAAACAAAAAAAAGATCTCTGATTCTGATATATTCATTTTTTACCAAACATTTTCTGCTTCATTAATGAATAATTTCTAAGTGATGCCCTTTTTGATTTGTTTTTTCGGTCGTCGGTTATGGTGATGCCACCTGTGTTTCGTAATAACGAGTTTACCATTATTTTCTAAATCTTCAGCTGTATTTTCAAGCCGTTCTGATTTTATTTTTGCTTGCGAACCTTTAATAATTTTCGTTTCAATGGCTAGGAACACATTTCTTATGTGGCGCTTACGAATTTTATCAGTGTATTCATCCAAGTAAATCTATTCATGGTATCGATCGTAAAGGTCTCATATTCAAAAGGTAAGCTGAATACCAATGTGATATACGTTCTCTTAATTGAAAGGGTGAAATTTTTCGATGTTAACATTTCATCGCTATGATTTGATTGATACCATATGATTTTTTACAACATTTGTGTCTAATAATGCTCCATTTTTGTAGTGATGAATTTGCAGACTGAAATCATTTCTGGGCAAAAGAGTAGTGTTAATTTTTGGTTTATCTTTCAAAGATTAACAAACAAACATCCAGTCGTTTTTCGAGCATCGGTGAATTTAAGTGCAAATTTTCAATATAATTTCATTTCAAGATTCTCACCATGTGGTCGTTATTTGATCTGCTTCAATTCGACATATTCTTCAGTTTCCGTTCATAACTATACAACCTTCACACTTGCTCATGGTAATGTGAATGCATTCGAGGTGAATTTCTATCTTATTCGTTCTTTTATTCAACCATTCAGTTTCTTCAATCCAATGTCATGCTAATGCCAAATTTGACAGATTTTTCCGTCGTTGGTTATATCAAGTATTTTCACATTTTGATAACAAGTTTAGTTTTTGCGTTATGGTTAGGTAACAACAGATTCATTCGTGGTGTCTTTTATTTTTGTTCATTTCGAATTGTGATTGAAAGAAAGATGTTGAATCTTATCCATTGTGAACTGTTGAATTGCAGATTTGCGTCGTTGCAATTCAGGACTACCACCCCCACATTCTAATTGTTTGAATGTGGGGGTGGTAGTCAACAGTAGGTGTTACTGAATTTAGTTTCTCAAGCATAATTGTACAACTTGAAGGATGTCTTTCCGGAGCGCTTCACAATTAATATTGCGTCAGATGCTGAAGAGGGGTCTTTGCTCATGCGTGACTGCCATTTCATAACTCCTGATTCTCGCCATATCATTGGTCGATTATTATTATTATTATTATTTTGACAATTTTAAATTTGGCTGAGAACGTACTTCCTATTGAATTGAGCTAGAGGGAGTGATAATGATAGTAAGTAAAACTCATCTTTTCAGAGTATACTTTGAGAAGTCTTCGATGGTAATGCTCTTAGGAGATTTCGTTTTCTTAATTGTTAAGCTTTCTTTAACTACTGATCATTGCATTCCTCATGAATAAATCCATCGTATGTAATGCCTCGAAAGATTTATCAAATTGGCAAGTTTAGACAAAAATCACTTCATTCAGATGAACAGCTGTTATAAAAAGATTGTTACGATGTATTGTGTGCTTCTTGAAAGGTCATTGACTTCGGTAATAAGTTCCTTCATGATTGCAGTTGCTATCGAGAGCTTCGTATCTGAAACAGCTGCAACATTGCTTGACGTCTATCGTAATAACGAATCATTGGTGCGTGTTTCTTCGCATGCTCTTAGCAATGTTACTTTCATCACCATCGATTTGCAGGTCATTATTGATATCAATAATATATTTTCTGTTTTGATTTATTGAATGCTCATCGTTCAGTTGAAGGTATCAATAATATATTTGATTTTTTTTTTACTGTATCCATCTTCGTGTAACATGTTTCGATTAGATTTTCGATATTGCAAAAGAAATCAGTAAGCACATGTCAGTAAACAAACCAGTGATAATTGCTTCATTTGCTGAAATCATCTAATTTGCCAACGTATTTGATGAGTGAGTTGAAGATTGTAAATTCTTTTCAAGGATGGTTCCATCTGTGATCGATATCGAATGAACGTGGATCGGGTTTGGATAGCACACGGAGTGCATTTAGTGGGACGTTTATTTGCAATTTTATCATTGCAGCATCAAACGATTCATTTTCTGCATATCGATGAACGTACTGGACGATTCATTGTTCTGAATCGTGTTGGAAGGTTTCGTTTTGTCTTTGTTTTGTTTTTTTTTCATTTCAATCGCACAAACAGATCTCCCTTGTTTGGAGCATATACCCATGCAAAGGTTATGGAAAACTGCATCTGTTTGGGTGTCAAATCAATGAAGTACAATATATTCAAATATTCGAATATTTTGATGGAAATTCACCGTAAGCAGTGGCTATTTGCAGTATTGTCCTTCGCACCATCGCAAGCGCTATCGTTGCGAAGTACTGCTATATGCTGTGTAGTAAATTAATTCTGCTCAGTTGCACTTTCGAGTTATTTTTTGTTAATAATTCAATATTTATCGTTTAGTTTGTATATATATTAATGCTACACTGCTATTATTAACCGAAAAACGATGAACTGTATTCTGTGCGCATAACTTAAAATTTTGTCGTTTTAGACATTTATATGATGATGATGATCTCGTAAGTATGGGTTTACACGATGATGAACAAGTGGCATTCACAGGTAAAGAAGGATTGTGATATATGAATATTTTCTTCTATTTTCGTTTTTATCCGAATCAATATTTCATTGTTTTACAACAGTTCCCTCTTTTAATGGAAAATGGTCGATAAGGACGATCACCTTTACGCAGCCGAAGCCTATGCTTCCTTTTAACTTTTCGGCATTCTATGTCATTATCAGGGAAGGAATGAGGAGAGGAAGAGACGCCTACGCTTTGTAGTTATGGGATCTAGAACTATGAGTGTTATACGGGATTAGTGCACAGGAACCGAATTTGCGGAGGTTTATGTGAATGAGAAGATTGTGAAAGAAAGATTGCAGGAAAAGATTATAAAAGTAATTTAATTCGGAAATGTCTATGATAAGCAGTGATATGAAGTTTTCCTTTGTTGTAAGCTACTCGCATTATTTATGTCAATTTTTTAACAAACTTCACAAAAAATTATTGCATTCAGATTGATTGGTATCAAAATTTCTTTCAATTTTATAGTTGTGATTTTAGGTCTAAAGCAAAGGCTTCTTACTGCACTGTATCTTCGTTGTGTTAGAGCTGGTTGTGTTGATCAATTTTTGCATATGTTTGGTCAGCTTCGTTCTTTACGAATGTGGCAAATGCAAATTGTTGACCCGGACGTAGTGTTGATTCGATTCGTTCAAGAAGGTAGATGATTCATTTTGATTGATATCTGTTTTGGTATTAAGTATCATTTTGATTGTTTCAGATGCGTTCACTTCAGTTACGTCCATTTCGGTAGCACCAGCCGTATTCGTTTTCTACAATTGGCGTTCTGCAGAAATTGTTAATGTATTCGAACGTAACTCACAACAATTTGGAGTGATTGTTGAGAGATGTTTAGAGGAATTAAAACATCCTGAAATGCTTGATTATCGATTTCCTTCTACTTCTCAGTACTGTCAGCAAGGTGCTTTACTCTATGAACGCATCAAATTCTTTCTTGTTCATATCACTATAGGTATTTCTATACTTTATTCGTATTAATCTCTTTTCGTTAACTCTAACAAATGAAATTTAAAAAAAATGATCATATTCATTCATTATTGACGACAAACGATACCATAGTAAGTGCGTGCAGTCTCCTTGAATCACTTCTTTGTATCTGCGATCATAAGTGAATATCTTTAGCCAAGACATTCAACCACTTCAATTATTTTCATGTGTGCTTATTCTGCTGCGAAGCACTTTTATTCGAGAGCAGTTAATACTAAATTTTGATAGAAATTCATTCCCAACTGAAATGAATTTTCTTTCAGAAAGTGGGTCAGAAGCGCATCGTCGTTTGGTATCTCAATTGCCATTCTCGACCACCCTTGCACCAACGAATTCACCGTATTTAGATCCATCAATGTTTAGTTACGACGACCGATTGCTGACAACAATTGAAAGGATGCGGTTACAGGACAGAGAAGTAGTGAAGTAAGTAATCTCATTGTAAATATATTCCATTCATGAAATGCTCCCGGAATGAAATCAACCCATATGTTGTCAATAGAAAAGAAACTGATGCGAATTGTGTGGATGAATAGAAGAGGTGAACGTGAGTGTAAAGTAGGTTGTTGATGATCTCTCTGTAAATGATCAACTAGAGTAGATAAGATAGCTGTGAGTTGGGATATGCTATTGATATCTGACCTATCATCTATAGTGATATATTTCTTACAGCTGTATGCATCGTTGTTAAAAGCGATCATAGCGCAATTGATTGGTTTTGCTTTAGATTTCACTCACGAATCACTGGATTGCCGTTGTTTCAAATGAGTGTTAGCCGTGGGCGATTCGTACAGTTGCTCTTCCATCCTAGCGATCCGTTTGCGATCTCTGCAGACCGCTCGCATACGAACATACGAGCAACGTTTCATCTACCACCTCTTATTCCAAACAACTAGTCTTCGATGGAACACGATCATTTGATCTCATTCGAGTCGAGTCAGTTTCGTTATCGTTGACCGCTTCGAATCCACTTGTTAACTGCTACCGCTCACTTATATCTTTTAACTTAAATAACAATCAATGATTCGGTCGCCGGTCGTTGAATTACATGTCGCCTTGATTGGAATGACTGGCTGTGGCAAGTCGGGTATGTATTTAATAAGTTCTGTATATATTTGTTCATCGCTTACAATGTAAACTTAGTCAGTTTGAATGTCAGTGATCTGTGAATCTTCTCAAACCATCTGTTATTTTTTCAATGATTTGCAACGTCACTTATCCATCGTAGAATCGGTATTCCCAATACATTTGATATGTTATGTAGTCAACTATTAAAATAAGTAATCTCGACGGTACTAACTATAAATTGATTACGATAACGATAATCACACGATTCACTATGAAATCTCGACTTAGTTACGAAGGCAGGGCTTCATGTTAAGAAAAGATCGCTCAAATGAAGCATTTCAGTGAAGTAAAGTACTAGTAATCCGTATGTAAGAAAATAATTATCACCTGTAAGTAACCAAGAATGATTGCACTAGTTATTAAGTCTAGGCCTTCGTGTTAAAAGAAAAAATGGTTGACAGATGATGCAAAGAAGAATACCGTTTCTGCTAAGAAGAATTCGAGAAGTGAACTGAATAAATGAGTGCAATATCACACATTGCTGAATTCATAAATTGAAAACTTTTCTCTTCTTCATTTAAAAAGCTAAAAATTTTTGCTAACGTTGTGCAGTTGATTAATTTAGTTCATTACTTTCCGTTGTAGATCTCATTGATTTCGAGCCGTTTCGTTAAAGCATATTTCTTCATGTTAAGTGTTTTATTTTGTTTCTCGATGTTATGTTATTCATTTTTTTTGTAAGAATAAAAGTGATACGGGTTCATTGATGAATTGGCAGATGGTTCCTGAAATATTGCATTTGTCTAATATGTGAATCGATCAAACAGCCTAGGTCAAATGCATATGCATATCTCAGCGAAATTAACGGGTTTTGTGCAGCAGTTTAATAATCAGTCAATTCGAATTGCACTATTTCAACAATTATTTTGGCATAATTTCTTTGTTTAAGTACTTTTTTTCGTATCATTCGGCATGGTTGAATTGATCTGTGATGGTCTGATGATGAACCTAGAAAGTTGCTCTGTTAAATTTCTTGTGGAAGTGCTGTGAAACGCAACAAGGACGAATTCTAACCTTTTCTTACCTAGAGGAAAAAAAACATTTGTAAAACAACCAGATTATATTAGCAAGTAACAAAAAGTGGTGAACAAGAGGAGAAGAGCGGGAGGCAAGTTGAACAAGGTAGCGGGAATTGAGTGGAGATTACGCAAAATGGACAGCATATGAGAATGCTGTTCTCTTTCGTCGCTTTGCACTTCTGTAAAAAACAAATTCTATTGCTAATCACTTTTTTTTTGGGGCAATCGTAGTGAACAGCAAGGCAGTGATAAAATAAATGTTCTGTCTTCAGTCAAAAAATTTGGTCACTTCACAAGCGTAGCAAGAGAATAGACGTTGAAAATATTGCTGGTAACAAGAACAAAAATGAATCAGAATTGCACTGGCACAAAGATCGGCGGATAGTATGATTTTGAAACATCGGTCATAATTAAATTTCGGATCATAATGGAGATGGAAAGTAATCACAGCGCATGTCATCCATATAGTCCGCATCATCATCACAACAACAAAAAAGTTTCAGGTTAAGGGTAGGGAGATGTAAATGACTACTGAGAAAGAATCACTTTGTTTTGAGGGAGGCAGTGAGCTGTTTCCACTAAAAGCTCATTATTTTCAGCACTTGCAGTCAAGTATATTGCGCATCGTTTCATCGGTGAATATGATTCTGAATTAGGTGGGTGAATTGTTTTGCTTTTTTTCATTTTTTACACATAATTTCAAATTTGGAAGATTTACAAATTTTGAATTTCGTCTTCGAAATTCGAAATTATGATTTTCAAATTTCGAAATTTTTTTCAAAATTTTTTCATTTTTCTACAAAATGGAGACGAAGTCGAAATTTCAGTAGGAATAAAGAGGTACTTTGCAGAAGATACATATTGCCGTCAAGACACTGTGTTGTCACAGCCATTAATGGTTTGGCTAATGGACACAGTGGATGGCTCAGGTCGGGATGCAATGCGTTATTTATCTTGGGCAGATGTCTACTTAGTTGTAGGTTGTATCAGTCATTCTCTTCACAGAATAATTCGAATGAATTAGTTGTTATAGAATGGTTCAAATGATTTAACGGAGTTTTGTCGTTGGTAAATAATCACAAAATTTGAAATTATTCTTGTGTAATTTGTTTAATGCACATCCACTCAGCATTGTTGAAAATATTATTTCAAGTGAAACTCAAATGTAATATCAAACGTAAAATTCCCTAAATTTGCCTATATTTCAGGTGTATGATGTCACATCACAATTGTCCTTGCAGTATGCTGAATCAACTTTGCAGCAAATATCGGCTCATGAACATCATCTGTGTGCAAGACAACACAAATGCCTTCTTGTAGGCAATAAAACTGATCTCGAACGATATCGGTTAGTGGGAGTATCAGTTTCTTGTTGAATGTTTATCAATGATCAGTGATGATGGACATGTTAGTTCAGTGATAACTTCTAGCCAATGATGTTCCATTGGATGTTTTGGTGAATGTGCGTTGAATTCGTCCAAATTATTGCAGGCAGGTGAGCGAAGCTGACGGTGAGAAATTGGCCAAACGTTTCGGTGCAATGTTCGGAGAGGTGTCTGCGGTAGATGAAAGTGAACGCGTTGCAGCTTTGATTCGACGTCCCATCGGTGCTTTGCTCAACGATCGTGCTAAACGTCGGAGTCCTTCTCCACGTCTCTATTCATCTGACTCCGAAATCGCATCTTCAGGTATCGCTTTTTTTTTCAAAAAGTACTTCTCAGGCTGACTTCATAATTTGTTAATATTCGCGAGCAGGTTGTATTTTGAAAACATTTCACTGAAAGTTTGATGAAAGCACTGCCCATTCATGCTCTGTTTTATTTGATAGGAACGCTTAGAAGTGAGGATTCATTTTTTTTTGAATTCATTCATTTTGCTGAGTTCATTAGTTGATGAAATTTGTCGCATTTGCAGCGAGCAAAAACCGTTTTTCGACGTCAATAAAGAATGTCGGTCGTTCGGGCACAATTGGACGTCGATCCAAGAGTCCGAAGAGCGTAGACATTCTGAAGCTTTCATCTTCGAAGAAAACCGGGAGCAAGTTGTTGAAGCTTTTCCACAATTAAATATCGCGAACAGCTGTTAATGTTTTGATCTCTGTGAAAGAAAGTTCATTGTTTCATGCATTATGATGATCGTTCCGCGTGTTTCATAAGGCCAAAATACTTTGATACCAGATTATACGTCCTGATTGTTGATTTTTAGCCATTTGTATACTCGCCAAATAAAAGAAAAGGTGATTTAAGCTCAGTATTCGGCTGGGCGTTGCCTAGAATTTGAGTTGAAGACCAGTCAGCGTTTGTTTACGTGAGGAAGAAAAAAACATTCATGTAGGCAACGTTAAATAAGCAGTTAAGTATTCGGCTGCCATTACTGAAAAGTGCAATCCCGTCAGGCCGAAGGGGTTTGATTGAGTGATAAAAAAGATGATTGCACGATTAACGATCGTTGTTGTCACTGGTGGATGTAAATGAATAATGTGCATAATTTTATTGTTTTGTTATGAACTGTTGTAACTGACGGCGCCATCCATTGCCTCACTACAGCGCATTTTGTGACCGTTGTGTTCAGATGGTTCTCATGCAGATTTGCTTCGTTTTCAATTATACTGGTGTAAATTCATGCAGAATTGTTTGTATTACGACACAAAACCTAATGTATGATCGTTGGCTATGAAAGGTCAGGCACAGTTGCATCTAATTATTTAAGCAGATGCTGCAGTTGGCGCCTCGTGACACTATATAAAAAGATACATTTTATGGTGATTCATTGATATATGTAATATTTCACAATCATGAAGCTGCGTTAGTTTTATTCATTTATGATATATGATAGAACAGTTCCCATAATTAAAACTTTAATTTCACTTGAAATCAATTTACACTATTTTTATGGATACGGACCGCCGAATTCTGATAAGACTCGTTTTAGTGGCTTTATAAATGCTAGTAAGCACATCAAGGAGCATTTCTGCGACAGGATTGAAGATGATAGCGGATAGCAATGAAGAGCACAGTTCTAGATAGATGAGATTATTGCAATAAACGAGCCATAGTCTTGAATTTATTCTCGAGCATCTCAACGCGTGACTCTAGTCGCATATAGTCTTTTTTCAGGTCGCGGTTGTCCTTTCGTAATTGTGAGTTCTGCTGTCGTAATTGCTCGATTTCCCATTCCAGATCATCTCGTGCCATATGCGCTGCTCTATAAGAACTATTTGATTTGACCTGATGACTGAAAAATTATAATTCATCGAACAGAATCAAATGACTTCTCGAGAATAAATAGCTTCGTAATTCCTGCTTTGTGGATTCTTCCAACGAGATGATTGATTCAAGTTTCGAGACAATGCGTGTGCATGATAGCTGATTGAATATAGCAAAAACTCAACGCTCGAAGAGTATTAGTTCACTGTTCTTTGAGCCAATACACAAATTTGTGTTTGATTTTTTGACACTTCTAATATATCATTTATCAACTAACTTTTCAAGTTTAACAACGGTCGAATCAACGATAAAGCTGTCGATTCGTTGTATCCTCTGTAATGCCTTCAATCTAACCACATCGCTCAGTTTCTCCTCCATTACAGCTTCCAAATTCGTTTTGTAGTGTATCTGCGCTTCACGCGCTAGATCAGCCACAGATTTCCAATCCACTTCCAGCTGTATTCAGAACCATTAACGATCGCCCTTAGTCTTTTTTAAGTTGCAAGAATCATTCTCAAAAGGGTGAACGCTTAGGACCCTTATCCACTCTAGAATCTGCTGCATCAATACTTTTCCAAAGATACTCATTAATAATAATGGGAAATGATAAACATAAGCGATAAATTTTCAGGATGTCGCTTAAAACTACCGAAATATCAAACTTTATGAACATTTCATCACTTCAGCAAATAACTCATCAACCTCTTCTGCCCTTCTCTGGGATGAAAATATCAAATCTTCTGAGCCATTTTTATATAAGAATATCGAACTTTTGGTGGTTTAAAAATTTTTTTTGAAAATTCGAATTTGACGGTTTTTTACATAGCGTTTCAAACCATTCAAAAACTTCGAGACTTTCATAGTATATCTAAAACTTGTTATGAATTTCGGAGTTTTCAAATCTGATCTCAAACTGATTATATAAAATCGACGCTCCTTTTGCATTTCATTAGGAAAATTCCAAAGACACAGTGAGTTTTTACACCACTTTAATATCATTTAATGTTTTCCCTATCGATACTCATTGTTCAGATCGGCATATCACCCATGTTGATTGTGGAATTCCGAATGATGCTTCAACTGATATTCACTTATTATCTCAAAAGTCGTTCAATGCCGAAAAAAATGATCATTGTTAATCGAATGAAATTCTTTAATTAAATAATCAAATCATGATTATAATTATTCCAGTGTGATTTGGTCGTGTCTTGAGTATGAATGTTTTGAAATAGAGTTTAAGAAGAATGCCTTAACGAACTCTCCCAAAGCAGCTGGATCAAACTTCATAATAAAAAACGTGTCTAACTAAATGATATAAAGGAACACTGACATCATATTCACCATTCATCATACGTTTAGCGTTGAGAACAATAGCGAATATTTTATCGAGCAACTTTCCATATACGAAACAACAGACACCTGAAATATGCAATCATGCATGGTATAACATTTATGAAATTTTAGTGAAGCATCGATGAGGGCTTTAAACAGAACGTTTCATTTAGTTATTTATTAAGATGTTGTTGGCGAAATGCTTTCCATTTTTTTATTCCTCATGAAATACGCCTCCAAATTTAGCGGAAAACGCGACTTATCGCATTTCTACTTCAACTCGAATCGCAGCTTTTTGATACTATAGCACAGTGGTTCTCGACCTTTTTTCCCCTTTGCACCCCTAAAAATTTTTGAGATGTCCTCGCACTCCCTACAACAACAGTTAAAATGTGCTCGCACCCCTTACAACATCCACTCGGTATCTCTTAACCACTACAGTGAGTGTCTATAGTGTAGATGAGTATATATCATTGGAGTACGTTCTAGCGTTTTAAAAATATACGCGTTAAAGTCTATCCTCGCTTGCTTCACTACACAAAAGATAAAACATTATCTCGCACCCCATCCCGCATCACTCACTCACCCCTCCTGATTGCGCCCACTTTCGCATCCCTTCTCACCCCACCCTCTTTCGCACTGTCCGGCATGCCATCTCGCACCTCCAGAAGGTGGGGGGCATGAACCTCCGGTTGAGAAACCCTGTTATAGCAGTACTGCATCTTTTATGAAGTAAAACAGCCAATAGGTTTTAAAAACCGGTGGGTGGATATTATTCAACTTATGTTGGATCGAATGAGCGTTAACGGAAAAAATGAAATAGAACTGAAACAATCGACCTTCATCCATGGCCGGTCGAAGGATGTCGATTGGATTGAGAATATGAACTTGAAGATTAGTGAGTAATGCCAGCACATTGTGCAGTTGACGCTCATTACGAACTCGGCGCTGACATTCGGTGAGCATTTTATCAGCTTTCTTCACAATTTCATAATATCCACTGTTCAATGCCTGACCACACAGTTCATCCCAGTGTGGATGTACGCGTCGCAATTCACCCAACTTAAACACCGTTCATAATAAAATTCATAGTTTCATTCATCTTCTGACAACTGTTATCCAATCAAGCTATGTATAGCCGTTCATGGCCGAACGGAACATTTTCCAGTAATAAAATCGTCAACTAATCATCATCGTATTCTATCGTAAATAATTATTGAAAGCTCTGAATGTTATGAATCGATTGGATGACTGTTAGAACTCGGATTTTGAGCAGCTTAATTTTGAACTGTAACAATATTTATATTCTTGAGGGAATCATTCATTTTCGCCTGGACGCGTTTTGTCCGTTCGATGTAAGATATTACAACAAAGTTCCGCAGTACCTCTTTGAATGTTAATTTTTTCAACACTTGTTGAAGAACCTGAACCGGCATTTGAATATCTGTTCTTAAAAGATCATTCCTCTGAAGACTGTCGTGAAGTGTTGATGTGCGCCTAAAATTAGAATCAATTTCCTTACCAAAAGTAGCGATGCTTCGTTTATTTTATCTGCTGAAATATTGCAACTCGAAAGATTATAATAAGCATTTGATTGCTTGATGAATGTGAAGATCAGTCATGGTTTGAGACAAAATTTGAAAGGAATAGTTGACAAAAATTTACGAAGTTTTTAATGGTTATTTAGCGGATGTTTTCAACATCGCAGATTTTTGAACGAGTATTTCGTAAAAATCTTGTTAGAATCAACTCTCTTTTGATTTACGAAAAAAAAAGAGCAATAATCATATAGAGAAGAAATGAATGAATTTACGTACCTGTCATTGTTGTTGACCAGTTTCTGTTTGGGTATAACCCTCTCACTGACATCTGACGGTGGACTGAGTCTTGATGACGTTGAACTTAATGTTGGACTGCATCGTTCATCACTGGAAATACATGCGTTCATGTGTCTTCGGTTTTGTGCACTTTCGCAGGACGATCGTTCTTCATCAGCAGTACTCGTTTCATCATTCTTCATAACTTTCTCAGGAATATTTTCAGAATTCATTCTTTGATGACTCGTCGTTTCGTTGGTTGGTAGTGCAATTGTGAATGACGTTGAGATATCTACTGCATTCTCTTTTGTGTCATATTTTTTGTCTGTTTCGATCAGTTGTAAGCCAGGGTCAGGTGTGGTACATGGTGTAACCCATTCGTTTTTATCCGTATCTCGATCATTGCTTTCTTCAAGAGCACTCAAATCATTTTTTTGTGACTTCTCATTGTCCGAATCGGTTAACGAAACGCCAGAATCAATACCTGATCTATCTGTATTCATCTGTTCAGTTTTTTTTGCCACCTCGCGACTCTTAGCATTTTTATCAGTGCTGCTGCCGTTGTGCTCATTGCTTTTGTTACTGGTACAGTTACTGGTGTTGTTATTGTCAATACTGCTTATAATATCGCTATCATTCTTATCACTGATACTCATATTGTCATTTATTTTTTTCTTCGTTCCGATACTCTCTGATTTCTCTGTTCCAGTTACAGAGACATGCTCATCTCTTACTATGATCTTTTTACGTACAATTTTCGTACCATTGGGTGTTTTGGTTACTCTGGTAACGCTTCCAGAAGATGCTGTAGTTGTCTTTTCAGGGGACTTCTTAACTAAGATCTTTTTAACAGTTCTTGGCTTTTGAGGGGGTTCCATACAAATTGGTAATAGCCACAATATTGTGCTTTCGTTTGATTTTGTGGCTGGCTTACTGTTCCTTGAAAGTATTTCAAAATGAGCGTTTCCAGATCGCAATTCAAGTACTAAAAGCGCCCATGCAGCAGAATCATGAGTTTTATTGAACACTCGCTGAATTGGTGTGCACCAGTCGTTACCTCCAGCAACCACCAAATGAACCGTTTCTGCAGCTTGTTGATCACTAATTACGTCACCTTCCTGCAAGAATCAATAATTGACTAAATCATATGAAGCAACTCTTCATCATTCGAATCGTCATTCGAAATATTCGTTCATTTCTGTTGTTCAATTTTTCATCAATTATTCTTTCAGCAAAAGATATTTTGACAAGTATCATTCATCTGCTCATTGTCCTGCAATCAGCAATGTCATGCTGTGAATCCCATTGATTATTGATAATGCTATTGAATATTTTATCAAAAAAAAAATCATTGAGCATACTTTCAGCAAAACGTTTCACTTGAATGAACAAAAGGCAATGCGTCAGAAGGCGATAAACTTGATGAATATGCAGCAAAATAATGAGCGCTCGTATTGAGATGACATGAGTGCGGTCATTCTTAGAGAATTTCGTGAAATAAAGACAAGAAATTTTCTAGAGCTCGTGACAGCTTGATGAATTGCAGCCACATCATAGTAACACAATAACACAAAACAGTATGTTTCCTTCATCTCTCTTTACAAATTCTCTTTCGAAACACTGTAGGGTCATCAACAAATTGCTTTAATGAAAGTATTTATATCTCCTACTACAACAGCTTTTCAGCATTGTCTTCAGCTTTCAACTAGTCATTAATATCATCAATAATATGATCACTGACTGATCAACATTGGCAGACAGCACTCAGTTTCGATGATTAAATTCATTATTCACATGATTGAATTTTAAGTGATTGTTGCATTCATGAACCCTTCCCTATCATTTATTTTGTCGTCTCACCAATCGAAGCTGATCTCTTGATGAGCTTTCGAATTACTTCAAGTGAACAAAACTCACAGTGCCAGTAATAAGTACACACATTTTCATAGCAGCAATCGGTTGGACGCCGTTCGACAATGAACAATAGAGAACGATGGAATAAAAATAAACTTTGAAGTCAACAGATGTTTGACATGCTGAGCAGTGACAGTTAGCATGCAGTTGTTGATTACATTATATGGGTCAAGTGCGAACTGCGTACAAATCAGCTAATCGCATCACATCACTCGATAACTTTCTGCTCGTTCCTACAACGCAGCTGTTATTCGTTAACGCAGAAAGCATCTATCCATTTGCATTTTTCTTTGTAAGATGAGAATTTCAATCGCTTTACAATCGCTTTACAACATTTCGCACGATATACTTAACCATACCCAAAGCATCAGAAAACTGGAAAATCAGTTAATGATTAAACACGATACTGAATTGTTGCTATTGATGACATTTTCAAACATGTAACCGCAAACGATGTTCAGAGCTGTCAGAATGAATTCTGTTAGTATCTGAAAGATTCATCAATGATGCCGAAATCAAGCGCTAAAATGCTTCAGGAGGAACGAAAATGAATGGAGGCGTTCTTCGAAAGTTCATTGATTCTGTAAACCACACATTCCACAAAAAGCTTATGCATCCTCTGAGATCAACATATCTATACTTCTAAATACAAGGCGAATCGTGTAGGGAATGATTCTTTATGAGATTCGCGAAATTTTTATAAGAGATTCGGTGGATTTTCTAAAGTAGACATTCATGACGAAGCGCTCTTCAAAACGAGAGATCATTTTGATTGAATTCGAAGAGTTTATCAGCAATCGGTATTGTTGATACAGTTCAATCATACTCGGATGCAACATTTTCAGTCATTTTTTGAGTAACTACAAGCAGTCTGTAGCAGGTTTATATCTGAGACAGTTTCTTCGTGAGATGCAAATGACATGCAAGTAAGTTAGAGCCAAACGCACTTGGATAAGCGGAATGGGTAACTTACTTAGCCGGTCCATGCAAAAGAACACTTCAAAAACTGTTTATCTACTTCTGCTATTTGATTCGAATTAGTTTTGTATACTTTCGGTCTTCTTGAACCCGTTTAGCCGTTCATTGTTTACGCGGTGAGAACGCTGCGAAAAGTAACTTGATTGAAAATTGCAGAGAAGTATCATTCAGCATCCTTTATGCTGTCATGTGCATACTTCAGAAGTATTGTCGGAAAATAAGTTTCATAAACTGCTCTACCTTGCATAGTGATAATAGAGAATTTCGCTGAACAAATGATAGTTTCGTAGAAATTGGATCTTCTTTCGTTAATGTTTTAGCGAGCTGCCATTCTTCAAGTTTCCACTAACCCTCTACTTTTCGTTTGCAAGGCAGTACTTATTTTTCCCAACGCCAAGATATTAAAAATACATATTTATGCTCTAGCACTGTCACGTGCTAAAGTACTCGGTCGAATTTGAATATTCAGTCATACCTCAACTACTTGCTATAAGTGCACTACACTAGCATTCCGTCTGACCTCACCAAGTTATTTGAATTTAAATAGGTTACATAACAATGCAATAAAGTTTTCTGAAGTTCTGCTGTCGTTAGAAAATGATATACAAAGAGTCAAACGGTCCAGACTGTCAGATGAAAACTCAGCGTGTTGATATTGTTTATAGGGAATGAGAAGGTGTGATGTGGACTGCTACCAGTTGATTGTTTTTCGCAAATGAATCTTGTTGTCGTCATTAGCTTATTTTCTTAATGTTGACCTTTGTTTTTATTGTAGAAAATATTTTTTGCGTCGAAATATAGTTGACTGCTTAATGACGTAATTAGGACTTTTCCTGCACAAATCAGTACCGCGATTGCAAATTCTCAAAGTAGATTTGAAAGTAACAATTATCGATGGCGATTAGCGCACTTATTTTGCTGAGTAACGTTTGAGCAAAGAATACTGCTATTTTTCCCGATTAGCGGCACTTCTAACGAGAAGACTTCGCCATTTTTAGTCACGCTCGCCATTAGCGGATTATTCTTAGCGGAACAAAAATACGAATTAGCGAAGCTATTTTTTTCAAAGCGTGCCCATCATTGCTTGAATGACGTTACAAATTCCTTACAAAAGTAGCGGTGTGAACTGGAAAACGGTACATATTGAATTGAATACATGCTGATAGATCACTGATACGCATTCTCTGAAGATTCGCTGAAACGCCAGTAGAACAGATGACGGTAAGCTATTGCGATTTGGCATGTTTCGAATGCTTCTTAGTGTATTTCTAGACGTGCTATCGTTTTTTTCATCCCAAAATGAATTGTTGTTTTTCGTTACGACCGAAAACTCTTTCTGACTCCACAAATGCTGCAAATTATTTAATGCTCACCGATAGCCTTCGAGAAGAAAGGCTTGTCTTTACTTTGCAATTGTTATGTAATGGCTGCATTTCTTCATATATTTAGCAGTAAGAATATGAGTTGAAATGTGAAGCTGCGAGGAATTGTTATCGATCAATAAGTAGTATCAAATGAAACTGATCAACTAACTATGTATACAGATGCTACCCACTATCAAGTACACACCCAACTGAACAACTCGATGCTTTCAACTCAAGCCAAATACACAAACATTCATACACGCACTGATACACTCAAACGCATTAGCTTACTTTATTGTTGGTTCCACTGAACTTATGCTGAACATCTTTAACAAATGTTCAATCACTAGCTTTATTTAACCACCAATTGTTTCTATTGATACTTATAGCTTATTTACGGAAACATTGAATGATTTGGTATTGCTTTTCAAACTATTGAACATAGAGTTGAAGAGTAAGGAATATTGTCGCATGAAGCATGGCTTATTGAAACAGAATTTTGTCGACATAGACGTTGAAACATTTGGTACCCTATGAAGTGAACATCTGTAACATCAACGAAAAATATTCATCGAGATGTGTATGGCAATATGGATACCGATGAGGATAGTAGTCAGTTCATCCGTTGAATTCATAGAATACGGTAGAGAAATGGTGATGCCGTTTTGAACCTGCCATTCAAAAAGTCATTCGCATTATGAACTCAGTAAAATGTTCGGAGGGAAATTTTTTTGCTTGAATCGCATGAAAAATGAGTAGCCTTTAATGAAATGATTGTGAAAGAGATGGATGAATGCGATGGTATGCAATCTTTGTGAACATCATAATAAATACTGCATTCATTCAGCCTTTAAAGCTTCGTCGTGCTCGAACAATGTCAGCAATAAATAAGTTCAATAGAATGAACTCTCTTGCAAGCAAAAATAATATCATCAAGCATGTTTATTGCACATGCAATCAGCCATTCATGTTCAATTCAGATTTTGTATCGAAAAAATGACAGTAATATTAACTTACTGGTAGTGAAGCGATCAGATGAAAATCCTTGGGTAAAGCAGTTCCAGAAGGTAACAAGTGAAGTTTTCGTCCAAGATTATCAAATGCAAAATTGAACGGTGGCTCGGAAAGGCAAGGCGTTTTTTCGATGCAGCATTCAACGTTGGAGAAATATTCACAAATCGAATCTTGCAGATCTGAGTTAATTTTATCATCTTAACTTCAAGTTCATGAAAAATAAAGTAAGATTGAAAAAGAGAGAGAGAGGTTTTGGCGAGAGAAAATCGTATGTTAGAATTTCTGTCCTGTTTTTATGAGACAACAATTGAAGAAAATCCAGCTACTTTCAGCTGTGCTTCTAAAATTACACTAAATTCTTAAATGAGTTTAACGGGCGAAAAGTTAACAATCGCGAACAACTTTCTAGTGATACACCAGCCCTACGTTGAATTGCAGCGATACGTCACTCCTTGGCTACCCAAAAAATTAGGTGATATTTCTCAAATATATCAAAATCAGTCACAAAAAATTGATAAGAAAAAACGCTCACATCGTTCATAGTCAGATTCAATGAGCAATCTAAGAATGACAAAAAATTTGGTGAAATTGAAGAAAGAGTAGAAATTAAAGACTATCACTGCTTAAATGATTTTATTGAACTGCTTCGTAAAAGAAAAGTGTAAAAGTTGATAGCCATTGGTGTAGAGATGAGATGATCAGTGGATAATCACTGAATAAAAGTTTCTAACGTTGAGGTTGAAAACGCAAGGAAACGAAAATAAGAGAAAAGAAACCTGGAAGTAGGGCGTGCAACGCACTGACACTCTCCATCGTTGTACACTGATGTGAGTGAAGTGCTTGAATGAGGTTTGTATGTAGTGATTTGCTATTCACATAAAACTGCTCTCCTTAAGCACCACAGCTTTGTTGTTCACTTATCGCTGTATAAAACTAATTCTCATCCCATCACAATTATTTTTCACTCGAGAATTGCTGCTTTATGATGAATAATTCTATCAAATTAACCTCCTACAACAATGCATTTTTCATTAATTCAAACACTCAGCTGTTGAATCTAGCAATCGAACTGCAGTACGTCCTGAAACAGATTACAGATTCTTCGTACAGTATTCTCTCCGTTGCTTCAAAATTTTCCCTCAAAAATGATTGTTGATATCGAAATCCAACACCATTCAGTATTGATAATAATTCAAAGGATGCAGATGAGCTTCAGTGATATCTGTACTTGTATATGAATGTCATCGACGTCTGCATTACGTTTTTTGCTTACAAGTTGGGCGTTGAGGATATCATAAATTGAAACGATTTTTGAACGATTTCAGAGAATTGAATCGAAACGAGAGCAATTCAATGAAGCAGCTAATGGAAGCTAGAGATTACGATCGCTAAGGTAAATAATAATGTGAAGATTTTCAAGAAAACATCCTAAAAACATGCACAACAAGAGCAAAAATACTTGCACTTCATTGCTACACTTCATTTTTATACTTGCGACTCAACAACGAAATTTTCATCAACGTAAAAGGTTCCAATTTTCAGTACTTCTCACTCAGTTATGGCACAACTAATTCGGCGAAAATCTGACAAATTTTCGGGGAAGTATTTTGTCATAATTATTTATATGTTTCTTACAATATACTTCCAGTAAGCTTTTGATTTTTCATTGAGTCAAGGATTTATCAGGTTGTTTTCCTTTGCTATATTCACGAAATTTTCGGTGCTGTCATTCACTGCTAGCTGTTTATCAACCTCTTAAATTTGCTAGAATTTTTATTCTTCAGGTTTATATTATAACCGATGACAATACCGTATCATAAACATCAAGCCGCTGTCAAACCGTTCAAAAAATTACGGACGTAACTCACAATGAAATGCTTCTCGTCCACTTTTCAAGTGATATAAAACGAATAAATCGACATCGCTGTTTTCGTTTGCATAGATCACACATGTACTGTATGAATAATCAATTACGCATTTAATTTCAATGAAAGCAAAAGTGATCACAAAGCATTGCTCGAAGGCGATAACAACGAACACACACGAAGAGATGCGGCTGAGTTCCAGCGAGCGTTGTCGAACATCGGCAACATTCATGATATTGCTCATCCGTCCCGCTTGAATGAATGCTCTGTCATATGACAGCAGCTAGGGTTTGCAAAATCCCGACGATTTTTCTATTCCCAGAATCAGAATTTAATCCCGGGATCGATTTTTGATCCCGGGATTGAATAATTATTGAAATATCGATGCGGGACATGTTTAAACACACTTTTCGAACCAATAGGTTCATTATTAATCAGAAAGGAGCTAATTCAACAAATTATTGAACAAATCCAAGGAACTAATTATTCAAATTTAAATTAAAATTTCATATAATGATGCCAATGATCATACCGCAAGGGCATACTGCATATTCTATGCTAAGGCATCTTGTCATTTTGGATCTAATTGTAAGCTAATAACAGTACACTTGCATGTGAATACGAAATTCTTGATTCTCAAACACTTATTTGCAATGCTTCAAGTTCATTTTCTCTCAATATTAACGTCAGCTGAATTCTGCCGTTTCGTAAATTTCGATTTTTTACGGAATAAATGCACCGCATGAATTATATAATTTGAATTTTGAAATAATTAAAAGTTCGAAGTTTATCTAAAAAGGTAAAAGAAAATTATCCACAATGGATTTTCATCGAACCATCGAGCACTTACATATTTGATAATTTCGATCAAAAATCATGCAAATGTACTTGATATTCAAGCTTAAGATCCTTTTGAATGAACAACTTTGCTCACTTCGGCAATGAATTTTCACTATGAGTGAACTCAGTGAGAATTTATGTACATTTCGATCGGATGAAAACGTTTCCAAATAGCGAAGTAAAAAGACTTGCAGTCTTTGGAACATGCAGTTGAATTAACAGATGGAATATTGAAGCCGAACAAATCTTGTGGGAGGAAACGACTCAAAATTTCATTGAACTTTGTTGCTCTTGGTTTTTATTAGAAAATATGATTATTTCTGTTAGTCTATTACATAGAAATGCATCCAGATGAAGGCGATATAAACCAATGAAGAGCAGAATAATCAGTTGAATATTCAATGAAATGTTACGTAAAAGTTCATCGAGCTGTCGTTGATCATGTCATTCGTCCGAATTGCTGAACATTAATGATAGGGGGCAAACAGCAAAGATAACTGCATATAAATTAGATGGGAATGATTAAGGCTTGCTTCAAGATGGGCATACTATCAAAATTCACACAAATTGACCTGTTTTATCAAATCCCGAGATCCCGGGATTTTTCAAAACTTAAAGCCCGGGATCGGGATCAGAATTGTAATCCCGGGATCCCGGGATCCCGTGTAAACCCTAACAGCAGCTCACCATTCCCTCCTTCAGCATTAATCTAGTTGGCCACAATGCTCTCGCTCCCTTCTCTAATAATCTTGAAGACGAGTGAGAAGGAAGTCATGCAATTAATCTACTGATCAGGAAGTTGAATGCCAAGAAGTTGTCTGTTCTATCGAACGAGTCAATTCTTGGTAATCAAGCAAGCATTTTAAAAACATAACTGGGCAACTATGGAAGAATTTTTAAAAAATCAATAACCAGTAATTCACTAGCACCTCTTAAATTCCCTTCTGATACCCTCATATTCTCCTCGAAGTGGAAATTGTTACTCTTATGAGAACCATTGACGTGAATCACTTCTTCATGAATGTCGGATTGTAAGGTACTTGCAACGCTCTGTATTATTCTAGTGGGCAGCATGAAATGCTTACACAAACGATGCTATTTCATTAAAAATATCGTATATTTATTCATTTGATATGGATGTAAGAATGTTAGAAAAACAAGATTGTATCACCTCGACAGTTGAAATTTTTCAATGCGAACGAACTCAAACTTATTTGCTAAAAAATCTAACAAGACAAAATATAAGTGCAAATTGACCGTTTATGTTTGATGGAAAAAAAGTTGCACAAGAAAGTCGTGAACGAACGAAACTTTTGTTTTTAGGTTATTCGCGAACTTTGTCAAAATGTTGAATGATTAATATAAACGCCGAATCGCGTATCATCTTGTTGAGATATTATTGATACACAGATCTATCCAAAAATGACGAAATGTTTTCTCTGCCTCCGTAACCATGAAACCAAAAAATATAGTTGATTTATGTTGTCAGTTCACTTAAAAGTGCAACATAATTTTGTTCATTCAGTAAAAATGATCGTTTTCATCTCAGCAAATCGCAGGTATAAAGTGTTTGACTGTTCGGAAGATAGATTTGTTCCGCGCTTTATCGCAGATACCATAACCGTTCTGCTAAATACGGCCAAGTGAGTTGAACAGTTATAGTTTCTATAACCAATGATATAGAATTTATAAATATAACTCTTGATTGGACGATTTTTCAGTGATAATTTGAAAATCCCTAAAAATTTGTGAGAATAGTAAATATAATGATATCAGAAAACAGCGGCATCAGGAACAAGAAAAAGTTATTTGAAGGTGATGTGTTCCCTTTATGCTTGGCTGTGCAATGAGTTAACTTTCTGCTTGATTGCGTAAAGAGTCAGTCAGTCATTCATGAATCGTCAAACAACTTTCTTCAATTTATCGCTCCATGACCGAAGCAGTTCTTACCTCATCAGTGTCGTTTTGCGTCACATTTATCGAATGTTCACATTTATAAAAATGTACGCACGTCTCTTTGATTCACAAAAATAAGGACTTATCAAAATTAAAGAAATCCTACTTTCGGTATGGTCGAAAAAGAAATCAAGACAATCAATGCTAAAAGTTATAGATGAAAGATTTAAAGAAATCAATATCGTAGAGGATAATTTGAAGAAATTTTATTGTGATTCACTGCTTTCACAGTTTTTGCAAATGAAAAGTGGAATCGCAAATTAGTGAGAAGAGAAGCACTAATTTAAACAATTCGAATGCATATGATAGCTATGAGAGCCGGAAATCTTCCTCGGTGCAGCGACAGATAAATTCATATGCCTCAACAATAAAATTTTATTCAAATTCCAAATGAAAATGTTGAGAATAATGAAGCATTTGACTTCGGTTGTGTTCGGCTAGCAACTGGTGTGACAATGCCAACGTTGAAAAATTGTTGGTAATCCAGTCACAGGATATACATGCTCGAAAAGGAAA